TGAGTTCAAGAGGAAGAGCTTGCTATCATGTGTGATGAGCTCAGACATGTTCATAAATTCTGACCAGTTTCAGGGCAGCCCAAGAATCACCCAGGCACTGCCAAGCCCCACGTAACTTCTCAAATTGCTGGACATCCCATAGTCACTCAATTGTCTTATCCAACTGAAAAATAAAAGCCATCTTCAGTCCTACCTGTCCCTTTCGCTTTTCTATCATTAGCAGCGTCTTCTGCTCCTTTTCTGAATTAATTAGGAAATAAAAATAGAAACCCTGACATGTTTATAAAGATTCAGAGTGCTGGTTAAACATGAAAGAACAGAGGTTGGGAACGCGAAGGTGACAAATTTTATTTCTGTGATGACAAGTTAGAGTCCTCCTGCCAGCTGGCCCTTGCAGCAGCCAGGAGCACGCACCTGTCTACAGAGAATCAAGAAGGAAGGGGGAGCTGAAAAGCCTCTGGGGCCTGGGGCCTTCCCATGCAAATAAGCCCTAATTGGTGGGGTCATTGAACGGTGCTAGTGTGGAGAAGTTCCTGACAGCTCCCTTCCCAGCAGAGGGAAGGCAGCGAGACTGCTTGTGTGAGCCTGGCCATGGAGGTGGTCCCATTTCTGTTTCCAGACCCTAGAGTGGGGCTCTGCTTTGGAAAGTTTACCTCTTCCCACCTCTGCCCTACAGGAAAAGAAGGAAGGGGGTGGGTCACCTAGTGCTTCTGAGTGTCCCTGAAATGCACTTCCAGTTTGACAGTACTGCCAAAGGAAATGAGAAGCGATAAGTGATCGGGTCCCTGATTAGATCAGCCACCTTGGGAAAGGTGCTGAGCCAGAGATATTTCACTGAAATAAGGAGAAACCTGGGAATAGATTTCTGGCAAGTAATCCCAGAGTAGATATGGTCTGAATTGGAAATAGATTTCATGGGCAGATAAAGTCTAATAAATGGCAGGTCACTCAAAAATCATATATCATCAAGTCTCATACAGTGTCTGTGAAGTTTGTTATCAATAATTTAACACGAGAAGAGCCTAGCCCTTAGCAAATATTTAATTTCAAAACATACCTACTGATTTACTCCGATACAGCATACATAGTATATTAAAAATATATTGCAAGGAGCCAAGGGCCAATGAAGCTGCACTGAGAAGACAAGCTGCTCTCGCTGCTTTCTGAATATTCCATTAGAAAAGGGACTGGGCTCTCCATCCACTGAGCTGGTCCGCCAGCAATTTCTAAATTGTGCTGGAGCAGAAAATGTGCACACAGACCTTACCTGAGCTCCCGTCCCCAGGCCAAGCAGCATGCCACATGCCACCAGAAGTGGGGATAAAAATTAGGGACCCCACTAGACTCTGCATGCTGGGTCTGAAGACTGCAGGAGGTGGAGGCATCCCATTAAAAGCCAGGTCTTTAGTAGCAAAGAGGCATTTCTTAAAGAGGTAGAAGGCAGAGGGAACTACCTCCACAGTCACTGCAATTACTGTCGATCTGCATCTTTAGTAGCAAAGAGGCATTTCTTAAAGAGATAGAAGGCAGAGGGTAGGAACTACCGCCACAGTCACTGTCTGCAATTACTGTCGATCTGCGCTGCTCTCCCTGCAGCCTTGTCTCAGTCATTCCGTCTACCTGAAAGCAGACCCTTACCACTCCCTGGCTGAAAAGTGTCACCTCTAGGCAGCCCACATCAGTGACAAGGGTTGCAGAGAAACGGATGTTTTCTAAGGCATTGGCAGGTAGTTCATTTAACCAAGTTAAAAGCAGAGGCATGGCCTCAGTAAGGACAGATTACTTACATGGTTAACACCTCCCTAAAAGGTTTTATAAAGGTCTTCTTTTGGAGGTGACAAAACCTTGGCAGGGATTGTTTGGTGGCTGGCAGGGAGCAGAGAGAGAACCAAGGAGTGCTTCCTCTCATGATCTTCTACCCAGGCAATGCTGGAGGACTAACTGAACCGAAAGCTTGATGGAGTTTGTGGCAGTCCCAGGTCAGCCACCTAGCACTAACTACAGCCTCAAGATTTGACTCCACAGGCTCAAAAAGCCCTCTGATTTTTGGGTGCTAGAACATAACTATTACCAGCTCTCAGCACAAAGATCACCTACCCCTAGCCATCCCTACCCTGGCACCATGCTGGGAAGCCTTTCTGATTGTCCTATAGGCAGTGGCCAGACTGAGAAAAGACGACTGAGCCACTTGCCAGGAGCCCTGGCTTTTAGTTTCTCTGGACTTCTCTGCATATACAACAACGTTCACGGTTCTTTCAGCTCTCAAAATCTCTTCCCTATAAAACTCAGAAGGGCCTTTACAGCTAGAAAACTACGATTCTCTAGCTCTTCTGCATGCTGTCCTTTTATGGGGGAGGAAGGGTACACTGGAACGCTGAAACCAAACAACCCACCACTACCACACAGACACCCTAACAAGGCCAGCCAGAAGCTTAAGCAGCTGACATCAAGTAAGAAAATCACAAAGTTCTTCTAAGCCAAAGTGAGGTGCTAAGAACATTCTGGAAGCTGATTTCGATGAAGGCTAACCCCTCTACATTTCTCATTTGCAAACCACAACTGTCCTTCCCCCCTCTGTCTTCCCTGAAAAGGTCCCTAACTTCCTATTGAGGGGACCCTCAAGAGACACTGACTTCAAAAGGTGATAGTTTGAATGACTGTACTGATCTTGCCATTTGGATAGACTCACAGAGGAACTGGTAACCAGCCACTTGACTCTTCGGATTAGTGATCAAAACAGCAAGAAAGGCCTGGTGTGCCCGTTTGGGGTTAGTAAACCCTGACAAGGGTGGAAAGCGGTGGAGAGAGGGAACAGACATGAGAATAAAGACAGGTGAGGGGTTTGACTAATTGTCCACTCTCTGCTTTTGTCAAATTCCAGAGCTGGTGAATTCTCTGCACAACAGAAAGTTTGGTCTGTAACTCGTAGTGTCAGCCAGGCACAAAGCGCAGCTCTAGAGCACACAGATAGCAAAGTATGTGAAAGTCAGCATTCTGGAACAAACCAACTGCCACACATGGTCCCTTGAATGCTGCTTAGGGACAGCTCCTACTGACTTAAAATTCAACCTAGATCCCCTAGTCAGAAGCTATCGATATAACCTAATGATCGTTTTGGTTTTTTTTTAACATCTATTTATTTATTTATTTACTGTGATTTTCAAGCCACCAGGTCTGGGACTCGAACCACAGTTGGCCATGTGAGAATCCAGAATGCCACCCGCTGGCTCTCGCTTCTTATTAAGGGTTAATAAACCCAGGTCACAATGTTGTCTATTTTGGAAGTGGTAGGCAATGCTGCGAACACGTGATTAGCTGGTCAGAGAAACTGTAGCTCCTGATGGTGGGGTGGGTGTGCAACTGCCTTCCCGCCTCCTCCGCAGCGTTGGTGAGATATTCATTCGCCAGGTCTAGGAGCTAGACGCGGAGCTGTTTAACCGATACACTCCTCGCTTTGAAGTGAGGGTGAGCGGGAGAAGGATCAGATCTTTGGTTTTCGCACAAAGTCTCCACAATTTATAAATTTCACTCCTGACACCATGAGTGACTTATTTCCCGTCTGTTTCTTACACCTCTGAGAGCTCCCAAGTTAATTTCCCAGAGACACCCATTTTAGTCAACTCGGGGTGACTCAGAGGGAAAAGGTTAGAAATATCAAAACCACCACGTGTTCTAGCATTTAGTACTTTGTAGAACAATTTTAATTTAGTGCATTTAGACCACTTCATATTAATGAATTTAGAAAATTTTGCCTTAGCAGACTTAGCTGCCTGCTTTTCACTGCCAAACCAAATATTCCACTTCAAAATACACCCCTGCGTGCTCATGTGATTTCTCCTTTTAGGCTAGGAATGTAATGTTGACATAAATGTCAAAGAAAATTAATGAGAGAATGGGCCCTCAAATGGTACTTCTGTGAAGGGAATTTGTTAGACTAGGACCTTTGAGCCCAAATGTATATATAATTATATAACACTCATATGAGGAAAGAATTCAAATGTTAAGCTTTAGCAAATTTATCACCTTTGTCAGAAATGCTTTTACCTACCAAAAAACAGGTTGCAAGTAAATTAAGATGAAAATACCATCAGATTAGAAGTCTGTCACAGCAAGCTACTGTAGAATTAGAAGGATGGCCCATCTGTCGGGTATCAGGTATCGAATCCTCCCCTTATCTATACAGAATTCCGATCAGATGTCTGTGGCTGCATCTGAACACGTCTGAACACAATCCGCTGTTGACTTTGCAAATGGACCTCCTCCCACCCAAAAGGGTTCCTGCACTCCCCTCCCCAGCCCTCTAACTGGCCACTTAGCGCAAAAATGGCAGTTAGAGCAGTAATAGGTATTTTCACCCAATAGTCAAGGCACTGGATACTAGCAGAGCGACTGCTGCCATCCGTGTAGTGATATAACCACTGTGTCTTTTATTTGTAGTCTCCAAAATCTTCCCCGAGTATAGCAGAATCATGGAAAATCACTCTCGTCATTGAAAAGAGCCCTGTGTCAAGTACGACAGCAAGTTTTCTCTTTTCAGTGTAAAAAGCTCAGAGTAAAATTTCCTGTAAATACAGAGGACACCTAGATTTACCTCCATGCCCAAGAAAATGGAAACCAAGACCCACCTACAACCCAATTAGCTTTTATGCAGAGGACCTGCAAGTCTGGGGTCTGGGAGCCTGCAGGGGAGGAGTTTCCAAGAACATAGTTAATTGTGTTTTTGTTTTTCACACTTTGGAACTGGATCCTAAGGAATGAATTCCACCCATCACATTTCTTTTTCATATACTGATCTCAAATACAATCATATGATTTCAAAAATCCATGTTTTCCCCTAAATCAAAATTTAAGGATAGGTTTTTATTTCTTTCCAGTTACCTAGATACCTCTGTCTTCTGGAAAACCCCAAAAAGACCAGAATACAAATCATGAATGTTCTAGAAGCGATTTCTCTATGGGAGAGTTATCATTAGAGGAATCAAACAAAACCCAAAGATTCCTCCTGATGTTCAGGCATCTTCAAACCACTCACAACTCCATGTACCTGAGGGGAGTCACAGAGAATCTGGTTCAGTGAGGGAAAGAAACATTTAACTCCCAACTTCACATAACTCGCATTCCTCTGTTTACTATGAAGTCATAGTTCATAGTATTACTCTCGATAATCTGGAATGTCTGCATCGGACCCAAGGAACACGCTGCATTTTCTTCTTCTTCTTCAGGCTCTCAGTTCATGATGAACAAATATGGAAATTTTTCTGACGGGGAAATCCAACTACCAAAATAACTCCTTCATAATTCACATGTGCAATCACAACGGTGATTAATAAAAACCTGAAACCGTTCCTAAAAGCCTCGAGCATCAATTACTCTGTTAGATGGCAGGACTCTATGAAAACCTACGACAGCAGGTTACTCAGGCAAATTAAATCATGTGAACTTATGGTGGAAAAAGAGAAATCTTCCTTGGGTGGATTTGCAAGCGGACAAAGGCATGCTCTCAAAGAGGGGTGACCGCCGTGTGGCTCTTCGGGGCTCTATATTTCAACTTTGAAAGACATCTGAAGGGGAAAATGCCACTGCAAATTGAATTTATGCTGGGATGAACGGTAATATTATATCTTTGAAAGACCTAAAATGAATGAATGATACTTTTTCCATTAAGGAGAAACTAGCTCTTATTGAGTGTCTCCTGCGTGCCCAGCACTGGCTGGTCAGTAGGATTCTCTTGGCTTCTGTGACGTCACAGGCCCGATTCTCCGTCAACTTCAATGAGAGCTTCTTCTCAATTATGTTTGCTAGCACCTCTTTCTTGGTCCGATCTGTAAATGTTAGTGCTTAGAACTCTGTCCAGGGCTCTTCTCTCTCTTCTGACCCTTTTCTCTGGGTAATCCTGCCCAATCTTACAGCTGTAGATACCACCTATGTGCCAATGACTCTCAAATTCCATGATATTCACCACAAGCCCTCAATGGAAACATCCAGTTGCTCTCCTGACATGCACACCAGGCGTTTCAAACTCAGAGTGTCCAACGTAGAACTCAGACCACAGCATCCCCACCCCAAATCTGTTCACCCAAGTCTTTCCCATCTCAGGAAACAATACCACCTTCTAAAACCCTAAAATAAGCTTCCTATCCCTCACTCTGTACTTCCAATCCAACAGCAAGTCCCACTGACTCTACTTTCAAAACACATCCAGAATCTTTCTACTTCTCACTATTCCCCTTCACCACTCTAGTTGAAGGCCCTCTCTCCCCTAGACATTGTCAGTCTTCTTAACTGATCTCTATACTTCCATCCTCCACAGAGTAGCTGAAAGGTTTCTTTAAAAACATAAATCTAGGCCTAGCTACGGTAGCACAGGCAGTAGGTTGCTAGAAGTCATATGGGAAGGACCCAAGTTCTTGTCCTGGGTCTACCTCAGTACACTGAGTAGAGCTGACTACAGGGATATGGAGGAGGATTGCAGCATGAAGACCCTGTCAAGGGTGCCCCCCCTTCTCTCTCTCATATGAAGGAGGTATATAAATATTTATAATACATAATATATATGTACTATATACTACATTTTTCACATACATTATACTGTGTATTATGTGTATTATATTACACAATTATATAGTTATTTCTCACTGCTACATAGTAGACACACAATAATTTTTATTCAATAAGTACATAGAATAAATAAATGTCCTTATGGTTTTTCCTTTCTTTTTTTTCCTCTTTTTTTTTTTTTTTAGAGAGAGATTTTTCTATAGGGCACTCAGAAAGAGAGAGAGAGAGACAGAAAATGATAACTCACCTCCCTGCCCCAGGGTAGAGGACCATGCCATAATCCCTTCTCCTCCATTCTCCTCTTAGGTTTTGGGCATACATGCACACAGGCCTGGTGTGAGTTTTAAGCCACCAGGTTTGGGACTCGAACCACAGTCGACTATGTGGGAGTCCAGCAACATAACCATTATACCATCTGCTGGTCCTGTTTTTTTTTTTTTTTCTTAATTTCATGAATTGATTACTTCTATTTTGAATAAGAAAAATGGAGGTTCCCAAGGTTAAGTGCAAAGTCACCCAATTCATTGGAGGCAGCATCAGAATTTTCATGAGTCTATTTGACTCCAACACCTATCTTCCCAGACACCAGACCAGTACTTCTAGCAGAATCTAGAAAAATCAGTCAAGAACAGAACTCTGCTTAAGACAAATGTGAACATAAGCTCAGAATTTCTTCTTCGGCCACAACTTCTTCATCTACAGAATGGGTGAACAAAATGAGTTTCTAACAGAGATGTTAGGAGAAATCATTTCCTTCCAGATTACAAAGTGTTTTGCAAGCCCAGATGACAGTTTCTCAGGACTACTATACCAAGCAGTTTTAACTAAAATCCATTCTGTCCTCAAAGGTACCAGTGGGCCTCTAAGTCAAGCTAGGTAATTGTATAAATCCAGTCAGGAGTTAAGGACCACAGACAGTGCCAACTATGGACTTCACCTTCCCAAAACCCTTTAAAGGAGATGTGATCTCATCCTACCAGAAAATTTCAGGCAAAGGAAGGAAATAGAAATTTAGATGGCCCCTTCCATGCCCAGGGTCCACCTACATAAATCTTTGTACCAGCATTCGATCGCCTGAATCACCCTTCTAATCAAGACAGTTCTCCCCCAGATATGGATCTTGACCTGGTTTTCTTTCTAGTGAGAATACCTTTGCCTCTGAATTGGTGCAAGCCAAGTGCAAAATACATGACATTACTTCATTTCCTCTAAATCAAACAAATATGGATCCCAATGCCTAACAGAAATTTATGTTTTATGTTTCTTTTCCTCCTTTCTAGAGTCAGAGGGACATCTTGAGAGCTAATGAGGTACCCAGGGAATAGAGAAAAGGTCTGTGGTGTTCAGTTCTCAGGCCACCTTCAGGATGCTCATCATCCAACCTTACTCCCACACCAGGTCTTTTCCCCAAAAATCAAGTAGGGTCACAGGAGTCCTTGTTGACGTTCCCAGAACCATGGTGCCTGGTATTAAGTCCCTCCAGTTTCCACACACCACCCCTCCCACAGTATGGGGCATTCTCGTATGGTCCAGGACAGTGGGCGTGACTCTCCACCATTCCAGGGATTCCCCCTAACTCCCAGGCCTTCTCCCAGAGTTGGAGATGCTCAACAACCCCTCTCGATCTCCCATCCTTAATACAGAGCACTTTGGAATCCTTCTCTCTCAGGATCCTTGACTTTCACCTAGCTTCAAACGAAAGTCTGACTTCTAGGAATCTGGAAAACCAACATTCATTCCCAGGGCAAAAGAAGTTGTAGCACTTTCTGAGACAAGGGAGCTGTAACCCAGCACACAAAAACATCACTGTTTTCCTGGGAAGGGAGAAAGAAAATGAATTTAAGGTCCTCTGCTGCAGTAAGGATAAAATACACACTACGATGGCCATCAAGTGTGGTGCCACATATTCTCCACATTCTGCTTTAATAATCTTAGCAAAGCTCACAGCTCCAACAGTTCCAGTTCTCTCTGTGGGGAGGATCTAAACCATTACCTCTCCTCCAGCTTTCTTCTCAAGCATGTTTCAGTATTTTCACTGCCTGCTACACAGTCTCATTAGACAAAACGTCAACACTGCAAATTCGGTATGCCTAAAACGAAACTCATCATTGTCTTCCCAATCGCTTCTCCCAAGTTTCTGCTAATGTTCATGCAGTGTTTGACAAATAATCAGCATGCAACAAATATTTTTTAGGATTATTTATTTATTTACATGTTTATGACTTTTTAAAATTTACTATAGGGCTTGTGTATTCACCAGAGAGACAGAGAGAGAAAGTGAGAAAGCAAGCCACCATGTCCAGGATTTGAACCACAGTCTGTCATGTAGGAGTTCAGTGCCTTAACCACCATGCCACCTGCTGCTCCCCCAACAATAAATACTTTTTAAATTAGTATATGAATAAATTAACAGCTTCCTAGAGACTATAAATGCTTTGGCATAACCATGAAGACCTTGGATGGACTGATTCAATCTCATCTTTTTTAACAGCTCTACTGGGATACACCCGACATAATAAAAGTACAACTGGGTAAGTTCTCACGTTTGTATATACCATAATGAAACCTTAATCGCAATCGTGACCTCCAACAGTTTCCACTTGCCCTTTTTAATTCCTCTCCGTGCCATCCCCAGGCAATCACTCATCTCCATTCTATCTTCATACGTAAGTTTGCATTTTCCAGAATTACATTTTTGTGGAATCATAATATATATATTCTCTTCTAGCCTGGAACCTCTCATTCAGCAAAATTATTGGAGATTCTGCCATGTGGCTGTGTATGACCAGTTCATTCATGTTTATTGTGAACGATATCCTGCAGTAGAGACACACAACGACTCATCTTCCCATGCACCTGTTGATGGACATTTCTAGTTTGAGGTTAATCTAAATAAAGCTGCTATAAAGATTTACACATAAATCTTTGTGCGGATGCATGCTTTCATCTCTGTTAGATAGGAATTCTCTAGCATTGCATGGTTAGATCATGTGGTAGCTTATATTTCACTTTTTAACATACTATCACACTATTTTCAAAGGGGTCCTACCATTTTACCTTCCCACCAGCAATGCATGACTTTCAGTTTCTTTATATCCATGCCAACACTTAATAGGATCAGTCTTTTTAATTTTATCCATTCTAATAGGTGGTGTGTTATCAAGCTACAGATGTAATTTCACTTCCCTAATTACTAATGAGGGTGGGTATATTTCCATGTATTTACTTGCTATCTATACATTTCTTTAGTGAAATGTTTGTTCAATCATTTGTCCATTTTTAAAAAAAATTGGCTAATCTCACTTGTCACTTTGACTGTTTTCCAGTCAAACTCAATTCACAGTCCCAACACCGACACCTCACATTTTCCTCTAAACTTTGCTGCTGTGTTCTGTTTGCTTTAAATAACTTAATGCTGCCTTCTCCTATGTTTTGCCCATCCAAGTTCTGTATATCCTTCAGCTCCCAGATGGAGTGCTATATTCATCCTCAAGTCTTCCTGAATTTCAATGTCCAGTTTGAAAGTACTGGTTTCCTCATCTGAACTATCATAAAGTTCTCTTTCTTCTACAATTTCTAACTTTCTACTTTTTGTTTTATATATTTTTTCCTAATAATTATTTTATTTAACTTTATTTTTTTTTAATTTGACCAGAGAGAGACAGAGCAACAGCGATAGGAAAAGTGAGAAAGCAAGCCATGAGGTCTGGGACCCAAACCTTAGTTGGCCATGTGGGAGTCCAGTACCCTTTAACCACCACACCACATGCCGGTCCCTGAACTTTCTACCTTAATTCTACTTCTTTGTTTTAATGATTTGTTTGTTTGTTTGTTTGTTTGTTTATAATTTGCCAGAGGGCATGGATGCTTGTCAGAGACACAAAGAGAGAGGGAAAGCAAGAAAGCACATCCCATGAGAGATGGTCACACTGCAATCCCTTCTCCTCCATCTCTCCTTTTGGTACTTTGGGCATGTACACACATGTCCCCAGCATGTTTCTCAAACCAGAAGGTCCAGGACTCCAACCGCATGGTCAGCCATGTGGATCCAGTTGCCTTAACCAGGAAGGCTGGCCCTGTTTGTACAGGCTCTGTTAAAGACAGAGTCTTGCTGTGTCTCAATCCTCCCACCTCAGTCTCTCATCTGAGACTACAGGTGCCCTCCACCACATCTAGCTCTTTTCCCACATTCGTACTGTGTTGTCCGGACAGCCTCAAGTTCACAGTCCTCTTTCCTCAGCCTCCCTAAGTTGCTGGGATTGAAAGCACACTCCACCACATCCAGCCTTTAGGTTAGAATGGGAGTTGAACTTGGGCCCTCCACAGGGTCCCATCCTGTGGAACACAGCACCTTAACAACACGTGCCACTGCTTCTGGTCATGCTTGTGGTTGTTTTTACGTAAGAAAAATAAATGTTTCTACATAATGTCTGCTTTATTATATGTATATTGGAGAAATTTATTTCCCCAAATCTCCGAGGTCTCCTTTATCCAAATTCATTCAGTGAACAAATATTTACTAAGCATCTATTATGTGGCAGGCACTTTTAGAGCCACGGTGGAATATAAAAGTGAGCCAAATGGATACAAAAATCTTTGCTCCTGGATAGCTGACATTCTAGAAGAGGGATACCGGCAACCCTAATGATAAATACATCACAGACTCAATGAACAAGTGAAATATACAGAATGCTCAAAAGATGGAGCGTGCTTGGCAAAAGTGAAAAAGTAGATGAGAATGCTGGGAACCGCAGAGGTAGGACAGGTGACAATTTTAAACAGGGTGGTCAGAGCAGGTTTAAGTGAGAAGTAACCTTTCAGCAGATGCCTGAGTGATGGGCAAATGTAGCCATGAGGCTAGCTGCAGCTGTTTTTCATGCCTTATAATCTTCCTGTCTCCTAAAGACTGTAGTCTCAAGGTGGGATCTCTGTCTGACTCAGGGTGGCATCTCCCCTCTCAAATTACCCAGCACTGGTGCCTGGCACAGAGTCAGGTATCCAAAGTATTTGCTGTATAATAAATGGAAGGTAGAATAAATCAATTAATGGGTGGGCTTCAAAGCTGCTGGGAAAATATCCAAAAATGAAAAATGAAGCAGGAAATGAGAAAAGAGAAAATAAAAATAAATACAAGATAGTGGATGGAAAAAAGCTAAGGCTAAAAAGGAAACCAATGTCTAAAAGTTACCAAAGCACCACTCACAACAAAAACCTTATTGTAGACTCCATGGAGGTGTTAGGTTTCTGATCACAAAACCATTGTCTGAAGATGATGTGGTCTATGGGGTCTTATAATGGATTAGCGAGAGGCTGTAAGAGACTACACGGTCTCCAAAAATAAGCTACTGGACAGTTCAATGGCACCTTCTCTGTGAACAAGAAATAGATGGGAAGGTACGTTATTTTTTGTTTGCTTGTTTGGTGGCTCTAACTTAGAAAATATTTAAGATGGCTTACTGAATATGGGGGCAGAGGTGAGAGGTTCAAACGAAATGCCCTTCTCAACACAGTCCCAGATTCTGGGAATCCCTGTCGCCATTCCTTAGTACGCTTCTACCACTGGTACTATGTGTCTATCAGTATTTATTTGCTAACGTTGAGATAGATTTGGTTCTCAGCTTTTAAAGTCAGTGCAAAGAGGGAAACATCTTCAACTGCAGGACCTAGTATCCATAAGATACAAGTAAACCAATTGTTTGTTCCTGAAGGTCCTTATAAGGACCCTGCTTTGCTTATCAGTCGGGGTTCTCCTGAGGAACAAGACCAGTGGATGTATAGACATAAACAGAGATTTAGTTTAAGGAACTGGCTCACACATTTACAGGGGCTAGAACTCCAAAATCTGCAAGGGAGGTGGGCAAGCTAGACAAATGTAAAGAGCAGATGTTATGGGACTAGCAGTTGGTGTAATGGCTATGTTGCTGAATTCCCATGTAGTCGACAGTGGTTCGAGTCCTGGACCTGGTGGTTTAAACTCATGCTGGGCGCATGTGCGTGCATGCCCAGGATCATGAGGAGAATAGAGGAGAAGGGATTGCGGCATGGCCATCCCCCCTGGAGGGTGATTTCTCGCGTTCTGTCTCTGTCTCTCTCTGTCTTTCTGGCAAACGCACGCGCCCTGTAGCAAAAACCTCTCCAAAAGGGACCAGCAGTTAGCGAAATGGCTATGTCACTGGACTCCCACGTAATCAACCGTGGTTCACATCCCGGCCCCGGTGGCTTAAAACTCACGCCGGGCGCGTGTGCGTGTGTGCCCAAGATCCCGAGAGGAGAATGGAGGAGAAGGGATTGTGATGTGGCCATCCCCCCTGGGGGGTGATTTCTTGCTTTCTGTCTCTCTGTCTCTCTCGGATTAGCGAGAGGCTGTAAGAGACTACACGGTCTCCAAAAATAAGCTACTGGACAGTTCAATGGCACCTTCTCTGTGAACAAGAAATAGATGGGAAGGTACGTTATTTTTTGTTTGCTTGTTTGGTGGCTCTAACTTAGAAAATATTTAAGATGGCTTACTGAATATGGGGGCAGAGGTGAGAGGTTCAAACGAAATGCCCTTCTCAACACAGTCCCAGATTCTGGGAATCCCTGTCGCCATTCCTTAGTACGCTTCTACCACTGGTACTATGTGTCTATCAGTATTTATTTGCTAACGTTGAGATAGATTTGGTTCTCAGCTTTTAAAGTCAGTGCAAAGAGGGAAACATCTTCAACTGCAGGACCTAGTATCCATAAGATACAAGTAAACCAATTGTTTGTTCCTGAAGGTCCTTATAAGGACCCTGCTTTGCTTATCAGTCGGGGTTCTCCTGAGGAACAAGACCAGTGGAAGACAAGACATAAACAGAGATTTAGTTTAAGGAACTGGCTCACACATTTACAGGGGCTAGAACTCCAAAATCTGCAAGGGAGGTGGCTAGACAAATGTAAAGAGCAGATGTTATGGGACTAGCAGTTGGTGTAATGGCTATGTTGCTGAATTCCCATGTAGTCGACAGTGGTTCGAGTCCTGGACCTGGTGGTTTAAACTCATGCTGGGCGCATGTGCGTGCATGCCCAGGATCATGAGGAGAATAGAGGAGAAGGGATTGCGGCATGGCCATCCCCCCTGGAGGGTGATTTCTCGCGTTCTGTCTCTGTCTCTCTCTGTCTTTCTGGCAAACGCACGCGCCCTGTAGCAAAAACCTCTCCAAAAGGGACCAGCAGTTAGCGAAATGGCTATGTCACTGGACTCCCACGTAATCAACCGTGGTTCACATCCCGGCCCCGGTGGCTTAAAACTCACGCCGGGCGCGTGTGCGTGTGTGCCCAAGATCCCGAGAGGAGAATGGAGGAGAAGGGATTGTGATGTGGCCATCCCCCCTGGGGGGTGATTTCTTGCTTTCTGTCTCTCTGTCTCTCTCTGTCTGTCTGGCGAGCACACGTGCCCTATAGGAAAAACCTCTCCAAAAAAAAAGAGAGAGATGTTATTAACAGTTCAAATCCAAGGGCCACGTGGAAGCCCAATTTCCTCTTTCTCAAGGGACCTTGGTCTTTGTGTCTTGAGGTCTTCAGTTGAATAGATTAACCCTCCCCCAACCTCCCTAAAGTTGTGGAGGGTAATCTGCTTATTCAGAATCTACTCATTTAAGTATTGATCACATCTTAAAAATGTCTTCACAATGACATCCACCCTGGGCTTCAACCAAATAACTTAGCATGGCAGCCTAGCCACATTGATATACAACATTAACCACCATACTATAAAGCAAGGTTAGCAAACTCAAATGCCTTCAGAAGCCAGGCGGATAGAGTGAGTGAAGCCGGAGTCAGATGATAAGAAATGGTGGAGACCAGGGTCCATAAGAGGGAGCATGCCTCATATAAAGCCAGTTACATTTGAAATTGTTTAAACTGCTGCTTGGGAAAAGCAACGTTCATTTCAGGTTAAAAAGAAAAAAAAAAGAAAACTAGGAATGATGGTTTGGGGGAGTAACAAACACAACAGTGAGATGCATTGGGGCCTTTTCACCTTCCATCAACACTGCCTCATGACACCAAGACAGAACACAAATCAATGAAAGCCCCAAGCTCACATCTCATCAAATACAGAACTCTCTAATGTCATGTAAATTCAGAACAGGTCAGACAACCAGCTCCACAGACATCACCAAGCTCAGCCCCTCATTTGAGCAGAGTTGGGAAGCAGTATATTCGAGGTTAAACTCTGGGTCAGCACCTGCAATGCAGCTAGCTCTCCTGGGCAGTAAATATGAAGATACAGGATTTAAGACGTAGTGGGGTTCAGCTGCCATCTTCCTGAAGAAGGGCTTGCAAAGATACAAGTTCAGAAAAAAAAGCATTTGGTAACCACAGGCAGAGCCAACACATCCCTGAATAAACAATAATTTCAATACACTTAAATATACAGACAAATAGGCCACTGAGTTTTCATGACAAAAATACTTCTTGCCTGGCATTTTATAAAACATAATCAAACACACCTATTTTAAAGAGTAAATATCTAGCTCCCAACCACGAAACCTTTTTTTTAGAAACTTTTTTGCTCTAGGGTGTATGTGCTTGCTAGAGAGACAAAGAGACAGAAAGAAAGAAGTCACCCCCTG